TCATGTACCAACTCCTCATACGAGGACCTTGCGCGAGCGGCTTCTCTTGCGAAGCAGGCAACGGATGCGGGTCTCACTCCCAAGTCGCAGTTCCTCATCGGTCCCGGATCGGAAGAGATCCGAGCCACCGTGGCGCGGGATGGGGTGCTGGATGAGCTGCAGAACGCCGGGGGGAAGGTGCTTGCAAACGCGTGTGGAGCTTGCGTGGGACAGTGGGAACGCCCCGAGATGGGCAAGGGCGAAAAGAACAGCAGTGAGCGTTGGCAACTCTCATCACAGAGACGAAGGGTTTGCTGACCAGTCGCACAGTCCTGTCGTCTTTCAACCGCAACTTCTCAGGACGACAAGACGGCAATCCAGCCACACACTCCTTTGTGGCCAGTCCAGAAGTGAGTCCCGACTCCCACATGACCATGTGTGGCTCACAGCAGATCAGCTCGTCACCGCGATGGCCTTTGCCGGTGATCTCACCTTCAACCCTCTCACCGACAGTCTTCCCCTCCCAGACGGCTCGAATTTCCGCTTTACCCCTCCCCAGGGTCCCTCCTTACCACAGCGGGGCTACGAGCGGACCCTTGAGCTCTACGCTCCTCCTCCAGAGGACGGCAGCTCGGTGGATCTAGCTGTGGACCCGTCTTCCAGTCGGATACAGCTCATCGAACCGTTTGACGCTTGGAATGGCGAGGACGAGCAGGATCTGGAGTTACTTATCAAGGTCCGGGGCAAGTGCAGTATGTCGCGAAAATCAGTCACCCCAAGCAAGGCGCCCGGCTGATCCGGTACTTTAGCTACGGATCACATCTCAGCCGCAGGGCCATGGTACAAGTACCGCGGGCATCTGCAGAATATATCCCGTGAGTGCGGTCTCCATCCACGACGCTGAGTGTTGTGCAGAGAATCTACTGATTGGAGCCATCAACGACGAAAACGTCAGTGAAGATCGCCTGTTTCGTTTCGAAACCGAGTTGACAGATTTAGGGTGAGGCCAATGCTGTGAGGAATAACCTCAGCGGAGAGATCGCATCTGTCCCTTCGGTCGCAGCGTGAGTACCCCGTCCAGGCGCGTCAGCTTCCCGACCGAGCTTAACAATTCCCTTCAGAGCGTACCGGGACTCGGGCAGGAAATGGGCGGTGGTGGCAGGAGACAATTATGGCGAGGGGTCGTCTCGCGAAGCGGCCGCCATGTCGCCTCGATACATGGGCGGTTTCGCCGTGATTGCCAAATCCATGGCTCGGATCCACGAGACGGTGAGTCCGTCTCTTTCGAATCGTGAAGGTGGTCTCACCCTTACCCGTCGCAGAACTTGAAGAAGCAGGGCCTGCTACCGCTCTTCTTTCAGAATTCCGAGGACTACGACCTCATCCATCCAGGAGCCAAGGTGAGCTTCATTCTGAGTAAAGGCCTCTCAGTGATTCGCGTTGTAGCTGACAAATATGTCTACATAGCTACGGCTCTCCAATCTTAGATCACTCGCACCGGGCTCGCGAGTTCGCCTCGAAATACGAAATATCGGGGACGAGCCTCGGGTTGTGGACTTATCGCATACGATGACCGAGCGCCAGATCGAATGGTTCAAAGCAGGGTCAGCCCTCAACACTCTCCGCCCCCACAATGACGCGTGACGCGGTGGTACAGTAGCACTGTTTCGGTAGGAAGATAATTGCTCCTTATGAACATACAGTGGTACTTCATGGTCGTCGGGTCTACTCTGTTTGCACCGGCGACCCCTCCGAACTCCCCGCTGCCAACATCATGAATGGCATCTGCGCCTCAAATTCTTCAACCACACGGCAGAATATCTCCCGCCAAAAGCGATAACCCTTCACTACAGCACATATATGAAGTCCGGGTTCTCGAAATCCGTTTTGTCATCGAATGCGTGCCGGTTCAAAGCTTCGCCATCCTGCGCCATACGCTGATTGTGCTCCTGCGCTCATCAGAAACCGCAACGACCTCCATTTGAGCGAATGAGCGAGTCCTCACTCACCGCCGCCTCTTCAAGGGTCATGATCGATGTATCGACCATCCTGCCGATTCTACCCATGGCCTCGCGTCGCCTCTCCTGGCGGAGGTTGAGATACTTGAGGTACCCGCCCATCAGGAGTACGAGGACGAACACGGCGCACCAGCACCCGACGTCCACGTATAGCCCCGTGTGGTAGATCGGAGCTTCCTTCGCGAGGTCTGGTGATTCGTCAGTATCACACTCCGCCTGCAGAATAAATGGAACTGGGAAATGGATCCCGGTCGCGAGAGCTCTGTAAAGTTACAAGGTGACTTACAGACCTGCGGTCCGGCGACGTTGCCCGCGCACTGGCAGATGAACATGATGCCCCCGACGACTCGCTGCTTGGTGGTCCCAGCGGCATTGGAGTTGGCCCAGGCGTAAAGAAGGGGCTCTTAGGGACGTCAGCGGATGCTTCATAGCCTGGGAGGTCGGGGGGTTGGATCGGGGAACGGATGTGTTCCCAACAGAGGTGAGGATGCGAGGCAGTGCACGAAAACACGCACGGATAGGCGAGTAGAGCTGCACGATGTAGTACGGGCCAAGGAGGATCCTCGGGTTCCCGCGGGGGACGTAAATGAGAGCGATGGCACCGGCGATGGGCATGAGAGTCACAAATCTACGAGCATCAGCGGGCTGGAACAACGTCTGCCGCTCATCAAACCACTCACGCAACGACGGGGAACCTCAGCCTGAACTTGTTCATGACCCACGACCCGGTGAGGAGCACCCCTCCCTGCATGAAGCTGACTGGGATCTGGAACAAGATGGTCTGAAAAGATGTGAATCCAAAGCCCTTTGTGACCAGCCCTCCGAAGGCGCCGATGCCGGAAGACGGGATGGCGAGGAGCATGAGCATGAGACCCCACATCCAGGTCTTCGGGTCGACGAACGCCTCCCTGACCTGGTCCCACTTCCATTTGGACGTCTTTGTGCCGGTGTTGTTCGAACGGAGACGTTCCACCGCAATGGCCTTTTCGCGCTCGTTGAGGAATCGGGCCGACCTGATGTCGTCGGGCATCATCCACATGAGGAACGGAGCGAGGACGACGGTGATGCACCCGAGGAAAATGAAGATGGATTGGTAAGGCTCGATCTTGTCGTTGATGTGACCGACACCAAATGCGAGCAACGGTCCGAACTGTCACGTATCCACGGTCAGTAACAATCAGAAAGCCGCAACAGCGCAGACTGTTCGCGTGACCCACCAGACCGGCGATGGCACTCGACATGAGCCAGAAGGTGTTGCGGTAGGTCTGCTCGCGACGACGCCACCAGAGCTGAGTCACCGCAATGAAAGTAGGCGAGACGGTCGCCTCGAAAGCACCGAGCAACCCTCGGGTGACCATGAGTCCGGCCCAGTTCGTGCACGCGGCCATGCAAGCACAGCAGACGCCCCCTGGCTCGGATCAGTCTCAAAACATGTACTGTATCCTCTCGGTCATGCCGCGTAAAGAACGGTGCGCTCACAGCAGAAAACGTTGATGGTGACCCATTTGGCCAGCGGGAGTTTGACCAATGCGAACGACGAGATCGGCTGGACCACGAGCTGGGCGAGGTAGATGATCGAACTGAGCCAGCTGTACTGGCTTCCGACGAGATGGGTCGCGGTTTGCAGGTCGAAGACGGCGCCGTAGCTGAGCGCGTTCTTGTCGAGGTGGACGAGCGTGTACGTGATCATCATGGGAGCTACACGCGGCACGCGTCAATTCACGTACGTACATGTACGAGTACACCTCTACATAGCATGTCAGGATGGAACCCACTGAGAACCCAAAAGTCGATCTTGCGAAGCACCTTGCGGTCTTCCTGGATATCAAACTCGATGTACCCAGCGTGGCGGAGGATATCCGCAGAGTCATCCTCGGCGCTGCTGTACTTGTCCGCGGTCACATCCTGTGCGACCTCGAGGTGGCGTGGGTCCAAGACCTTTTCGATCTCCTCGGCACGAGCGGGTGCGGGAGCGGGTGAGATGCTGGACATGACCCAGGACCTTCGGGAGACTTAGGTGGCTGATCGATGAGGATCTGGCGCGGGGCGGCTTGGGGGTGCTGCAGGCTGCTTAGGGGCACTTTGGGGTCCCAGGATGTCCTTGATATACACCACCTCTTCCAACTCCGCGGCTAGGCGGCCCGCTCAATCGAGTCCCAACTACGCTGTGCTCCGAGCATCTCGGCGATGTCTAGCTATTTGAACCACCTGGACCCCCCGTGTTCGTCGGTGTAGGCAACTAGATTGTCGGAAGGACGGTCCAGCCATGTGGCGAGTGGGACAACTCGCCATTGTCAGTTATACTCAGAGTCGTCACAAGACTTGTTCGGCGCCAAGACTTCTCGGCGGGCCGGCCGGCACGGTGGGGCTAACCGGCATTTGCTGTCTTGGCACTGCGCAGAATTCTCTCGATCGAGTTATTCTGAGTAAGCCGGGTTCGCAATGACAGGTGCGTCGGCGTTGGATATTGGATGTGTTCTCGGGGTTTTGCGCCTCGGAAGCCACGGACCGTGTTTCCGAGAAGATTTCGGGCCGTCGATTCGATGAGCAAGCTGTGGACGAGGACCCGGCGTGAGACCCAGAGTCAATTTGTTCTGAGGTATCCCAGGAGGCTCACATGACCCGTACACGTCTCGGTGAAGGCCGATGAATTCAGAGCAGTTGCGCGAGCGTGACGCGGCCCGGGGACATTGGCGAAGAAGCAGGTGCCAAACCGCCATCGGGCCGGACGTTGTGTCTCGCCGATACGATCGGGCTCGAAGCTTGCAGGATTCGACGTGGCGGGGAGAGGGGAAGCGGCCGAAGCCCCGCAACTTTCGAAAGACGAGGTGGCTTTTTTTACTGCACACGACGCAGTGCCACGGGTGAATGAGTCGTGGCGAAGGGCAATGCTTCTCGTTCAAGCAGGAATGCATCAACTCCGGCCATAGCAACTGCTGTAATATCTTACAATGCGCACTCATTACTGCGAGACACTGCGTGCTTCCGCCCATACCATCGTCAGTGGTACAGCTCACACGGAACCGGCTCCTCCAGCCCGATCCACTTGAACGACCCCCGCTTCTCGACCGGCTTGGCGAGGACGATGTTGGTCGACGAGGTGCCGATGCGGATCTCATACGCGCCGGACTCGCTCACCCACGCGTGCTCCTGTACCGAGTAGTACGAGAAGGCCTTGTGCTGCGAACGTCAGCGCGGCCCGGCGGCGTAATGCTGGCAGGATGAATGGTCGCGGACAGGATGAATGGTCGGGGAAATGAATTCGATTCAACTGTGCGCGCGCATCACTCACGTCAAGCGCCACGAGGACCCGCTTCGACTCCCCGGGACCAAGGAACACCTTTGTGAACCCGCCAAGCTCGATCTCCGGTCGGTCTACACGGGGAGCCACCTCGTGCACGTATACCTGGGCGGCATCCGCACCGGCCACCCCGCCGGTGTTGGTCACTGTGAAGCTGACCTCGGCGCCGAAGCCGGCGTTCACCACCTCGAGGTCTCTTGACTGGGCGTCAGCGCACGCCTCTCTTCTTTCCCTCTGTCGACGTATCGACGCATCGTCGCGTCCCCGCATCGCTCACCTGTACGCAAACGTTGTGTAGCTCAGACCGTATCCGAATGGGAAAGCGCTCCTGACCTTGCCCGGACGATCAAAGTGCCTGTACCCCACGCCGAGGCCCTCGGCGTACACCGTCGTCTTGTTGTCGCCAAACCCTTCGTGGCTGGGGAAATCCTCAAGTCGGACCGGCCAGGTCACGGGAAGCTTTCCCGACGGGTTGATCCGCCCAAAGATCACGTCCGCAATGGCCGTGCCGCACTCGTTGCCCCCAAAGAACGCTTGCACCAGAGTCGTCGCCTCGGAGATCCAGGGGAGCTCGACCGGCATGCCCGACTGGTTGACAATGATGGTGTTTGGGTTCACAGCGAGGACGGCGCGGACCAGGTCGTCCGTGTTCCGCGGGAGCTTGATGTCGCTTCGGTCGTATCCCTCCGACTCCCATTCCGAGTTGGTACCAATAGTGAGCACGGTGACTACAACGAGCCGCATCAGCTACGACCCCACAGCCGAATACGACCCATGTCTCGGACCCACCATCCGACTCCCGGGCCAGCTTGACGGCCTTCTCGATCTCCGCCACAGGGTCGCGTTTCGGTCGACCTCCGATGCGGATACCGCCCCGACGTCCGGTCTGAGTCATCAGCCGGCGGTTCGCATCGCACCGTGGAGACACACTTACGTAGGGAGACGTCGAGTGGAGTTGCTTGAAGTTGGAGAACCGAACCTCGAGCTCGTACGCCTTACCAGCCTCGACCTCGATCTCGGCGGTCTTCTCCTCGGCACCCATGTTGAACTGCTCGTGTCAACGAGTGGTCAACCGCATTGACAAAGAGGAAATACACACGAAGAGGACACTGAGCTGCTGGTCCGTCGAGTTGTCGATGAGTTTCTTCCCGTCAATGTAGAGGTCTGCCTGGCCCGACACGCCCAGTCCGAGCTCCCACTGGACGACGTCAGCACGGGTAAACAAATGGCCTAGGAAGCGATGCGCGCACCGTGCCGGTCTCATCAGGGACGAACTGCGTCTTGAGCTGCAATGCGTCAGCAAGTCAACGGTACCCGCACGCTGTGTCCCACCGGGCCACTCACAGAGACATAGCCGCGTACGGGCACAGTCTTTGGGACGCCGTCGATGTAAAAGTTGAAGGCGCTGTTGTTGAACTTGGAGAACAGCGGTTCGACCGACTCGCCATTCCAGGGGCTACTCATATGAGGAATACGATCGACGCGTGAAGGAGGAAAATTCACTCACTTCTTGTCGTAGAAGTGGGACATGACTCCTGGCTCCGCGCCGACCTTCTTTCCGGGAAGAGTGATGTACGGCGTCAGGAGCGGAAGCCATCTCTCGGTATCGGCGGCTTTGAGACACTCGACAGTGGCTCCGACCTCGTTGGCGACCTTGAGTACAGCGTCATAGGGAGTCACCGTATACGTCGGGGCGAGGTTCGCGCTCCCGCCGCCAGAGTAGGCTGGGGACTTTGCGTTGGGTCCAATCACAGCGATCTTCATGCCCTGCTTCGACACGAGAGGAAGGACACCCGCCGAGTTCTTGAGGAGCACCACACCGGCGTCTGCCGCCTCGCGGAGGAGCGCGCGGACTTCGGGCGTGTCAAGACTCTTCTCGTCTGTCTCAAAGGCGATTCCGGACTCTTTGGCGTTCTGGACATAGTCGAGCACTCTGCCCACACAGTCGTCCACGTCCCCCGGGGTGAGTTTCCCCGAGACAATGTCCCTCTCGACGCAGACACCGCGCATGAATGCCGGACCGGGCATCTCGAGGTCCAACCCGGCCTTGACGGCCTCGCTGGAAGAGTAGGTGCCGGACCAGTCGGACATGATCAATCCCTTGAACCCCCAGTCTCCGCGGAGGATCTTTCGGAGCAGGTGAGGGTGCTCGGCGGCGTGCACCCCGTTGACTCGGTTGTAGCTCGACATCTGCGGCACATCCTCAGCGTTTTTCACAGAGCACGCATGTACACGTGCACTTGGATCGAACTGGAACCGGTACCCGAGCCGAATGCACACACCCCGACTCACAAATACCTTTGGATCCGCCTTCATCTGGTGCCGGAACGGCTCGAGGTAGATCTCGTGCATGGTCCGCTCGTCGATCACGCTGTTGTTGCTCCGGCGCATGTGTTCTTGCTCGTTGGCGAGAAAGTGCTTGGGCGTGGCCATGACTTTGCATGACTGGACACCCTCGACCCACGCCTTGGCGAGGTGTCCGGACAGGAGGGGGTCTGTTCGTGTCAGCACGTCCCGCGCCACCCACACCACCTCGACATCAGAGTCTGCGGCGTCAAATCCCACCCACCCTCGCTGTAGCTTTCGAAGCCTCGGCCGCCGCAGGGGTGCCTCTGGATGTTGGTCGTCGGGCCCAACAGGCAGTGCACGCCCCTCGCCCTGCACTCCTCCCCAAGAGCCACGCCAACACGATGTGCGAGCTCCACGTCGAATGACGCGCCGAGGGCCGTGGCGCAGGGGAAGCACGATGCCGGGGCGCCGTTGGTCCACGCTGTGCCGCGGACACCGTTGGGCCCGTCACTGCACTGCGGGGGGTCAGTGCGACTCAAGCACAAGGCGAATGGTCTGGTCCAGAGTCCGCGTCCCACGAGACGCGCCGGGCCGGTCGACTCACTCGAACGCGAGGGATGTCCAGCCTCGGCACAGCGACAGTATGCCACATGTCGTCCCCGCTGAGCAGGGCAATCTTCTCCTCGCTCGAAAGCTGGGCGAGGAGCCTGTCCCGCTCAGAGTGCGCAGCGTGACCATTCACGGCCCGCTTGACCTGCTCCACTGGCGTGGACGCGGGATTGGAGCCCGTGGGTGAAGGCCTGTCATTGGCGTGGGACGCAGTGCCGTTGGGCTTGACGGCCTTGGCGATGGATGAGAGCACGCCGGTCATACCGTGACTTGGAATCTTTGCAAAGAAGGATACTGCGGGTGCAAAACCGAGATCTTCGTGGAATCCGCCTCTGCAAGGTTGGAACGGGTAGCTGAGTGAACACCTACAGTAGTGAGGGTGAAGATCAGTAGTGAGGGTGAAGATGTAAACGGATATCAAGCTGGAGTGATGGGGCGCCGGCGTATTATCACACACGAGTCCACCGGTCATACCTCGTCACCGGTCGTCGAGAACACGGAGTGTTTCGCTTCCCGTCCGTTGAGATCTTCGAAGAACAGAAGCAATGATCGGGCCGGCACCGCACCTTTGGGACAGGAAGCGAGGCGTGTGACCGTAGCGACGCTGTGAGAAGCAAGTCGTTCGCATGAAAGGGAAAGGGCCTTTGTCCATCCCGCCGGGGGATTCTGCGACCTGGTCAAAAGAAAAGGAGCGGCGAGAGGCGCAAATGACCTCGGAGAGTGTGAGCAGCATCTTTCCGCGGTGAAATGGGTGTATCAACTGTCCGAGAGACCGGTCCGGTCCACCGGGAAGAAAGTCTTCGTAACGATGCCTAGACCTGTTCGACTTTGAGCTTGCTCGCGTTGTTTCTCCGGTGTCCGGACCGCGTCTGTATCCAAAGCAGGGAAGCAGGGAAGCAGGGGAGCAGGGGAGTAGGGGAGCAGGGAAGAGCCGCTCAACCCAACCCTGGGTGCGACACGGATCCCGCCAGCCGTCAATCCTTCACCAGCCGCACATCCCGGCGGCAGCCCAGGGTCTCGCAAACTCGCCCACGCGAAGCCAACTTGCCATGCCGCCGCCGACGTCCTCCGCCGTCGGACCTCCGTTATTCGGATGGTCATTCGGGGATGAGGATGGGGCTTGGAGCCCTCCCGTAGTCCCCTCAGCTTGGTTGGGGTCCATGGAGGTCGGTTCATACCGCACTACAACCCAGCCTCGCCCAGCGGTAGGTCTCTGGTCTCCCTGTGGATGCTCGGGTCGGTGCTTTGCTTGCCCCGCTGGACAGAGCAGTCCTTCGGACATCGAGTAAACGGCGGTTGAGACTTATGCTCCGGCGGCAAGGGGCGGGAACTCGCAAAAGACACCGGTTGCTCACTACACCGAGAAGACTAGCGAGGTATAAAGAGGAAGGGGGCCAGAACGAAATCCCTCGATGCCCCCGAGTCCCGGACAACCCCCAGAAACAAGTCTCGGTGCTCCATCCACGGCCCCAAATCACCTCACCCATTGCAAGAGTGTAAGACTACTCCTTTCGCTTGCACACCCCGACACACACGCCATGTCGCACGGACAGCACTATGCTCAGTTCAACAACAACACCGCCCCGAGCTGGTGGAAGGATGGTGGGATGCGCAAAGGTGAGTCGAGTCGGGGCGGGGTGGGGCCCACGCTTTCTTCGCGTTCAGAGAGCGAAGACGCTCACTGAGATCGGCACGTAGGGTTCATCCACATCTTCATCCTCTACTCGGCGGTGTATTCTCTGGGCTACGATGGTTCTCTGCTCAACGGTCTGCAAGCTCTCCCAGAGTGGGTCAGGGATTTCGTAAGTCCACCATGCGCGCGCTATTATTTCTTCTGCCCGGTGTTAGCTCCTGTTGCAGCTTATGCTCATGCCCGCTAGGACGCACCCACCGGGACCCGCCTCGGCCTCATCGCGGCGACATACTACCTCCCAAAGATACCCATGACCTTCGTGATCGCCTACCTGGTCGACAAGTACGGTCGCAAACTCACGCTCTACCTCGGAGCGGTGTTCATGCTTGCCGGTGCGCTCCTGGGCGGGTTCGCCCAGAACGTGGGGCAGCTAATGGGTTCACGCGTCCTTCTTGGTGTTGGAACGGCTGCTGCTCGTGCGTCACCGTCCACGGGCCGAATTCTTCCATCTCCCTCTCCATCTCGTTCTCCCCTTCCCAAGCCAGCTCGACTGGCTAGCTAACACTGCCGTAGAGATCAGTGCTTGCGCCTTGGTGCCCGAGCTGGCCCACCCTCGCATCCGTCATTGGGCGGGTAGTTTCCTCAACGTGACGTACTTTGTGGGTATCGGATCGCATCCTTCTCCTCAGGCACTCCATCCTTCTCTCCTCGGACTCATACGATTGTGCTCGTACGAGTCTCGGCGCTGACGCCGCCCCCGCTAGATCGGATCCATCTTCGCCGCCTGGCTGACCTTTGCCATGGTGTACTACCCCGGCACGTCCTCCTGGTCTTGGCGGGTCCCGAACCTGATCCAAGGCTTTGGACCGGTCATTCTCTGCCTTGGGACGTGGTTCGTGCCCCAATCGCCCCGTTGGCTCGTCAAGAATGGTCGTGAGGCAGAAGCCCACAAGATCCTCGCGGACTACCAGTGAGCCGATCCTTCCCGCTACTGTGTAACTGCGGCATGTGCGATCCCGTAGTGAGCCCCTACTGACCGCGTTCAGCGCCAACGGTGACATGGAAGACGAGCTCGTGCAGTTTGAGATGCGCGAGATCAGAGCCGCCGTGGAGATGGAGAAAGTGGGCGACCAATCCTCCTGGCTCTCGTTCTTCAAGACGCCGGGTAACCGCCGCCGTTTCCTCGTCATCATCCTCCTGGGCACCGTCACCCAATGGGCCGGAAACGGGATCATCAGCTACTTCCTCATCCCGGTCCTCAAAACCGTGGGGATCACCTCGTCGACCCAGCAGACCGGGATCAACGGCGGTCTCTCAATCTGGTCTTGGTGGTGTGCAATCCTCGGCGCTTCGCTCGTGGAGCGCGCCGGAAGGAGGACGCTGTTCCTCGTGTCAATCGGCGGCATGCTTGCTTGCTTTGTCATCATGCTGGGGCTTTCGGGCGGATACGCAGCTACCAAGCACACCTCGACCGGAGTCGCGATGGTGCCCTTCATCTTCCTCTTCAACGCCTTTTACGCCATCGCCATGACCCCGATCCCCATGCTCTACGTGCCCGAGATCACCCCGCTCTCGCTCCGCGCAAAGGCCGCCTCCCTACTCCTTCTCTCGCAGAATTGCGCTCAGAGCTTCAACCAGTTTGCTAATCCTGTTGCTCTCGCGGTGAGTCGATTAGATCCGTCGACGTCGACAGTTTTGAGTGTCGATGCCATCCGAAACGCGTAGCTGACCAGTGCCTCAGGCCATCGGGTGGAAGTACTACGCCGTCTACGTCGGCGTGCTCATCGTCTACTTTGTGCTCTTCTGGTTCTTCGTCCGGGAGACCCGAGGACTCACCACCGAGGAGGCCGCGGTGGTCTATGAGTCCGACGAGACGCGCGAGGCGGCGCTGGATGCTGCGTATCGCCAAGAGCGGGCAGACTCGCCCAGCGGAGAGCTCAAGGAAGCAAAGGAGGAGGTTGAGCGTCGCGCCTGAGCGAGACTCGGATCGGATTGTGGACATGGAGAGAGAGAGAGAGGGGGTACATAGGGGGTGTTGAAGACGGGGTAGGGGCACGATCACTGGGGGCAAGATCACTGGGGGCAAGATCACTTTAGACTAGATACATAATTGTGCGAAATGTACACGTTGATCTGAACAGGAAGGCATCAACATGTCACAGTACGTACACTATCGTACGGTATCGGTGCCGATACCCCACTCAGCGCTCTCCTACGGCGTCGATACCCGAGTGCAGATGCGGCGAGACGTCTTCTCGTCCACCCTCATTGCCAGGGGCTGTCGGCGATGTTCGGCGCGGCGAGGAACGAGAGGATCGGATCGCTGATAGACGCATCGAGTGAGAACTCGTAGTTGTTCGGCAGGAAACTGAAGTCGAATGCGTCGTTGCTGAGCATCTGCGGGTCGAACGTCGAGGCGACGACCTGTGGTGGTTGGAGATTTGGATGGTGTCGGCTGGGCTGAACGAGGGAACGGAGCTGCTTCGCATAGTACCCGGCGAACGATTTGCTGGGACACGAGAGTATCAGCATACCACACAACGCGCGCGTTGCACGCCACTCACGCATGTGGTCGGGCCGCGGCGATGTGGTCGAGCAGCGTGGCCATGTCCATCACCCGTTCATCGACCTCGGCGGTCTTGGGCTTGTCAAGGAGGCGGGAGAGTTTGTGGACGAGTACAGCGCCATACCTGCGGGGGTCAGTACGTCAATGTTGCTTTTGTTAGATCGACTGCGACCGGACCCACGCGATGTGCACGATGAGAAAGTTGTGCGCGTAGGCCAAACCGCCAGGAGCGTCAAAGGGCACTTCGTCCCGCCACCTGAGAATAGTCACGAGCATCTGGATGGCGAGCTCGCATATCTGGCGGAGCAGACCTTGGGTGCTTTCGCGAGACGAAGGGATCCGCAGCGAGAGCAGGATCAGCATGACGTGGAAGTTGGCAGCTGTCACGTCGACCAGGCGTGCTGGGAACGTTTCGTTAGCCAATCCGCAACACAACGGCCCGTCGCATCGCTTGGTCGACCACACTCACTCTTGCCCACCCACTCCTTCTTCCAATCATCCAATTCTACCCGCCATGACCGGACGAATCGTTCACGCCCGCCTGTTTCGGCAGTGTCCCGATCCATGCCGTGCCAGTGGTGCAGGGCCTTCCCAAAGATGTGATTCAGCCGAACGCTGGCTATAAAGGTCTCGTCGGTCTCGTCGATCGGCACGACAAACGACAAGTCCGGAGCTGGAGGTATGTGTCAGCATCAGCCACAGATCCTGTTGTTCGGTCGTCGCCGCACTGGGCCCGGACTCGACGCGCTCACGTCGGATGATTCGATGGCCAGAGGTCGTATCGGCTCGACCGCTGTTCGTTGCGAGGCTTGACAACATTCAGCCGATCCCCACACCCTGACTCGTAGGACTCACGCGATCTCTGACATGCAGACCAGCAGATACGTCCTCTGCCTGCAAGATCCCAGCCGGCGCATCTCGTCCTCGGTGAGAGCGCGCGTGTGTCGATACGTGTTTAGCAGCTCCCGATCGGGAGGAAGGTCAAGCCGGATCTCGCACGCCAGCCTCATCGCCTGCCCTTGGTACATCCAGCTCCTGTCGCCGAGCCAGTCGTCGCTCGGACACGAGGCCCAGTGGACCATGACGAGAAACGCCTGAACCACCTCCACGCTCTTCTCGCCCTGGGCGAACGC